TATACCAACCTAATCAAAGCTAGTCCGGTACTGGCGACGAATCCGCGCTGAACCGATTGTGAATCGGTCGTTAGTGAGCGGCAATTTCCCCTCCTCGGCGGGAGGAGAAGAGAAGAGAAGCGAATTTGGAGCGATCGAATTTCAAGGGAATTCTCGTTTCGTGTCTTTTATCGTTCTCACGAATTTCTCACGCGACCGACAACCGATGCCCCCGAGGTACGGGTCCGATCATCCGGGAGATTCGCTCGGTTTGCGCCGTTGGCCATCTTTCGGACGAATTCTCTTCAATTTTCTTGGCTGTCGGTCGGTATCAGGCAGGAGGATAGAGAAAGATTCCCGAGCAACTCGAAAGTGTCGTAATTTCGTAATCTCGTAAAAATAAGGTCGCGGTACACGGGTGCGATATTAAACGAGGCTCCTACGCCGGTGGAACGTGAATATGCACGTGGATTAGCATAAGCCTGGTATGCGAGATAGCCGCGCGTAGGCGTGCGTGCGTAGATGCAAGCGGGCCGAGTGTAAAAAGAGTGGAAAGAGAGTGAAAAGAATATCCACGACAGGGTGGGAAAAGGAGACACGGTGGTTGGAGCGTGAGAGAGAAAGAGAGAAAAAATGGGAAAAGAGAAGGAATGCAACGATGTTAGGAAAAGAGGGAAAAAGTGGCGCGTGAGCATTAGCGTGTGCCATTCGCCGAGATACGCGCGATTGCGACAGAAATGTTGAATTTGGAGCAGAGAGTGTGCAAACGAGAAGAGGAACGAAGAAAAAAATCGACGCTGTGTGGTTTAGAACAGGGTTTCTCAAACTTTCTCAAACTTACCTCCCTTTACCCGAGCAAATATTTTAACGATCCTGGCTATAAACAAAAATTAGGAATCAAAACAATTTGCTGACGATAAATCACAAGGAAAATTTATTCGAAAACAGTTCTTTAGTACACGTACCACGTATTAAAGACAAAGCTAAATATTCATACTAATTTCTTAGTTTTGCTACAATTTAAAATATAAATATGAATTTAAATGAAATATAAATATAAAATTTAAATTTAAAATTATAAATTTCAAGAATATAAGTTTTGTGCAACTCCCAAATTTAGTTACGCGACCCCATATGAATGGCACAGGTGTCCAATCTTTTAGATCTTTGGCCAACAATAATTTATCGAGGACATAGTTTACACATTTTTTTATCAGTTCAATGTAATCTGTATCATTTATGAGGGTATTAAAACAACTTTTACTCAGCAAAACATCGATTAGAAAAATACGTTTATATTAATGGAAAAAATATGAAAATTTTTAACAATAACATTGAGCTTGTTTTTTTAGATACCAGTTCGTCAATACAAAAAGTATTTTCAACGTGCTCGTCTAAAATTCTTCTTATTTCATTTTTCGCGTGCTTCGTATGTGAAAAGACTCTGCTCGAAAATATAAGCATGTATTCCCCAAAATGGAAATGAACATTCATGGTTAAAATTATTCAAATGATAAAACTCTTATTCAGTCGTTCCAATTTTGGTTATACAACGCGGGCTATATGAATCGCGGTTTAAGGGCCGCGGATTGGACACACGTACCACGTAGGATCGCGACCCACATTTCGAGAAGACCTGCTTTAGAAGAGGTGCGTAACGCGTAGTTAAACCGGAATATCAACGGACGATTTCCCGTTCGTTTTTGCCGGGGCGATCGTTAATAAGTGAGAGGCTGCTGTTTGTACGCGTGTCTCCGGCACGCTCGTCTCTATCGACACTGCGACGCGGTCCAACTAGTATCGATAAAGGGAGAACCGCGCGGTCGCGTAAATAGATAAGACACGCGAGATAAGGTAGCCTCGGGATTTAAACACTGCCGGCGCCGTTGGCACGAATCTTCTCCTCGGCAGCGAGAAAGGCGGAGAACTTTACGCCACGGTTCATTTACATTACCGTCGGTGCCTCTTTAATGATCCGCGATAAAAGCCGCGCTCTGCTCAATGGCCCCCTTTTTCAGATCGCTCTCTCGATAAACTCGTTTCGAGACGGGCATTCGAGATTTGCGAATATCCTCGCTTGCGTAACGCTGACTGAGCCGAGAGTCGAGATTCAATCCCCCGGTGTGTTGGGCCGAGTCTGCAGTTTTCGAAGATCCGAGCGCGAGCGATGCAAGTTTGTTGATGCACTGGGAGATCAAGGCGGATCTCGTCGATCGATGGCGGAATCTCGTTACACGCGCGCGCGATCAATTTCGATCTTTGCTGAATCCAACGTCGGGACGCTTGCAGCGGAGCCACGGTAGAAACCTCGACGGGCCATTTGTCAAATCGTCGAACCTCGTCCGATCGCTCAGGATTTTCGACAAAGGAAGAAACTCGTGCTGTCGAGCCAGTTTTGACAAATTAGATCTATAAACGAATCGTTCGTCAGAAATTCTGTCAATGAGATTTACATCGTTCTTAACCTCTTGGCTGCGAATGATGAATACACGCGTCACGAGGGAATGGCAATTTTTTTTTTGAACAATGACGAGTATATATTCGTCGTGCGCAATTGTTACTTGAATTAAATTTTTTGTGAACAGTGAAACGTATTTGTAAATCTTGGATTATATTTTGGAATATTTGATATTAAATGATATTAAATTTTGGAATATTTTGAAACTGGCTTGGCCAGCACTTTTTACATCATTTTTAAATATTTTCGTATTTTCTAATTGTTATTAATTGATATTGATTAAGTTTAACAATAAAATTATCGAGTTGTAAAGAAAACTAGCGTTATTTCCTTGTAATTTCACAGCAGCTGTACGAGTCGTTCTAGTGACACAATATAGATACACACTTTTAAAAGCGGCATCACAGCTAATTTCTGCGTATACTGTCTTCATCATCGTATATTAATTGTTCCCCAGATATTAAAATTGACTGTCGCTACTTTCTACGAAAGCAACAATTATCCCAATGGCTGCGAATAAAGGTGTATTTATCTCGCGTTAAAACCGTGTCTTCGCATATTATCCTCATCGTCGTATATTAATTGTTTTCCCAGCCACTTTGCACGAGAGCAACAACTGTCCTAATATACCTGCTAAAATAAAGGTGTACACATCTCGCGTTAAAGCTGTGGATTCATGGTAGGTATCCGTGGCGGGAACGCGGTAACGAGGCCGCGAACAATGTACGAATAGTTTTCCAAAGCGGCTCGTAGAAAAAAAAAAAGGGGGGGGAAAAGAAGAACGTAGCCGCGAGAACATGGTATCATTAATTATATGCCCGTGTCCGGGCATGTTGGAATGCATATGCATTAGCATAATCCCGATACGCGAGATAGCCGTGTGTAGGTGTGTTGTGTACAAGCGTCCAAAGTCCAAGGCGTGTACGTAAAAGCCTGCTGGTGGCCTGCGTAGGGATGGGAAGAAAGGGAAAAATAAGGGAAACGAGGAAGGAGAGAAGCCGACTGAGAGAAGAGAACTACCAAGAGAAAGGCAGAGAGGGGGAGGGGAAGAGAAAGAGGGAAGAAGGAAGAAAAGCGAGCACATATAAGGAAAGCGGCCCCCTAGATACTGCGGATGCTCTATAATCCAGGCAGATAAACGGCGTAGAACGCGGCGTCGTAAGGCTATCGTTTGCTTTTTGCAAGGAGACAACCGCCGGAACAGCGAACAGTCGCTGCTCTGGGACGCGCATAGGCGCGCGTCTACTCCTTCCTCCGCGTTTGTCAGCCCAGCGGCTGATCAAAATCCTGCTGATAAAGCGGGAATCTCAGGCAACCGAGCAGCTGGACGAAACGAAGAGTCGGATTGCTTCGCAAACTCGCTTCGTGTTAGCCGTTACGATAGACTCGGATTTTATGGTAAAACGCCAAAGATGTACATATGTATATCTCGTAGCTGTTTCGATAACTGTCTTGCGCTCGAGATTCAAGACAAAATCGAATCGAACTGAAATACTCGTTCCGATCGGAGTATGGAACGATCGAGTGCGGCTACCCCGCGACTGAACGTCGTAGTCAAGGCGTTATTAATTGCGCTGTTACGCCAATGTACCTCGGAACTTACACGCATTAGCATACGTTTGGTATGCGAGGTAGTGGCGCGTGGGTGTATATAGACAGGGGAACGCGCGATGCGCAAAAATGGCAACGGCGGTGGTGGTGGCGTGGAATGAAAAAAGAAGGTGGAGAGCTCATTGATAAATAACGTGTCGCTGAAAAAGGTGCATGGGGGAGGGAGAGGAGGGCAGAAAGAGCAAAAAAAAAAAAAAAAAAAAGAAAACTCGACGACGCGTGGTATCGACGATGTTCGAGTTTTCTATTCTTCGCCTCGGTGAAAACAAGTTTCGTAGAGGCGTTTAGCCGAGCGGGACACACAGAGAACGACGACGACGACAGCCAACAATAGTCAGGTAGCACGTGGCAGCGCGTACGAGAGCATGGAATTACGCGCGCGGACTGGCTCCCTTGGAACTCGAACTCGCGGTTGTTGCAAAGGAACGCGGTAAAGCGGCGCCGATAACGCGAGAAACCACGGCTGCGTAAAGATAAAGCCGGCGAGATACGCTGCTGGCTCTCGCCGGTCTCTAAACGGTCTGTGTGGAGAGACGAGCGGTGAGCTCGACGCGCGAGCGTTCTCTTGTCGTTCCGTTCGCGAGAAGTTAACGCCACGTCCAATTTGCATTATCATCCGCTTTCCCTAACGACACGAGATACAAACGCGCGGGGCATAACAATTCCGTTTATTGCAAGCGTATTGGCGTGCACGTCTCTGTTCGACTACTCGAACGTTCTCTCGAGCCGATCCGATACGATCTCGACGCGTGTCGACGACGCGGACCGATTCGACTTTCATTAGCATTCGAAACGCGTCGTTCGTTTGGTGATTAATCGGTACGAATGAGACGAGCCTGGTCGTCGCTCGGTAACAATTTGGTTCGAAGGGGAGGAAGGGGTGGTAAAAGTTGAAGGTGACGCGAGTGGCGAAGGCTGAGCTAAGAGATCGAGTACCGAGATCGGTACTTACTGAGACAAGTTATCGCGTGATCGGCCGGCGGTCGTAGGACGTTTCGAGCCCAGGCTGCCCTCAAGACCTCGAGGGCACAGGGTGGTCCGCCGACCATCAGCACGCCAGGTGACACGTGACCCTTGTACCTGAGTTGTCGGGTTGCGTCCACCAAGGCTGCGTTCCACCAGCACTTTGAGTTCGCCTCTAAGAAGCTCTGAAATCATTCGAATTGCCATCATATACAGGGTGCGCCAAAAATCACTCCCTACGAAAATAAAAAGTTAATTTAAAGTTCATAAAATTTTAGTTTTTTCTTATATTTTGATGTTTTATTAAAAAAAAAAAAAAAACTTTTGGCCCACTTTCTAAAAGCTTGTTAACCGTCCCTACAAAATTATTATATTACCCCTTGGCCCTTGGAAGCGTTTTTTTAAATAAGCAATTTATTTACGAAGTAGTTCAATAAAATGACACAGCATTGGGAATCATCGTCTTGTTGAAATGGCATTTAGCAAGAAATTTTGTTGATTACAGCTAACATGTGATATCGTTTAGGTTTAAAGCGATTGTCAACGTACATTGCGGGTTTTCTAGAACAATTATAGTATGTAACAGTTAATGATACATACAATAATTTTAATCTGTGAAAAAAAATCTTCTCTGTCATTTTGCAAACTTCTGTAGGAAACCAATGAAAAGTCTTAATTTATATGAATTATTTCGAATGAGTGTCAATTGACTCACAACTGTTTTTTATCCTCTGAGAATTTCTTTTATTCTTCCTCGTTATTATAGCTTTCACTCTGTTCAGGTATTATATTATTACATTATTATATCAACGCCAAACGTATAATATCTATATTCGTTATAAAAAAATATAATTATAAGAGAAAGGAAGTTTCAACTATTAGCTCAGACATAAGTACGATATCCCCTTAAAAGGGACAGTCGAGTCCAAAGAACTAAGCTTTAATCGCACGTCGAGAATTTTTTGTCTCAAATTGCAACATTTTCTCAGATTTAAGTATATTTAAATGTAACCGAGGCAAAAAAAAAAAAAAAAAATGATAAGTTTATCATCTCTTAATAATTTCTATCCAGTGACATCATCACCGACGAGTTCAAAAGAAAAAGAAAGCGACGAATTATCGTATACGGTTCGGTCACTCACTTATGGTCCGCGAACCAGTTGCCAGCGCAAGAGGGTTAAGCAAAAATCCGCAAACATCTAGTAATCATATTTTCCTCGGACGTTACATAACAGACGGTCCACGCGAATTCCGCAGATTGTCGGTTACAGTGCCATAACCGTGATACACCTTCCATTACTAAGATGACGGTTCTACGAGAGATAGAATCTTAGATAGATTCATTCTGTAAAATACGGTCGAGCAGTTAAGTGTTTAGTGGCACAGGGCTTGCTGGCTGGCGTTCACCCTTCTCGTAAACTCCGAAACTGTGCCACCCTCGTAGTTTTCCCGATCCCCCACGTAGTTACCGCCCGTATATATATATATATATATATATATATATATATATATATATGTATATAGGCATAAGCTATGATGGGGGCCGAATAAGCCAGACAGTGCTCATAAACGAATGGCCCCGCAGGATTTTCACCGTCTCGATCGCCCCTTTTCTTTCCTTGCCTCTTTTCCTCTCTCCTTTTCCTTCGCCTCTCGCTGCCTGATCACCGGGTTTGTTCTCCCTCTCTTGTGCTTCACGATAAACCATGAAATTAGAGAGAAGTGTGCGAATCGATTGGTCGATTCACCGGCGGCCAATGATTCATTGCGGCCTTTGTGCAGTTGGAACACAGCGCATTATGCTTTTGTCCCTTTCATGATCTCCGTCTCTCTGTTCGACGTAAGAGCAGGAGTCTCACGTAGCCCATAAATCATGCGGCTCTCGCATGTTGCACTCGTCGTCGAGGTGCTCCATAGGGCAGTTTTTCATTTTGTTAAATAACGGCGCAGAATCACGCGCGAGTTTATTACGACTCTGTGGAGCGATTTTTTCTTTTTTTTTTTTTTAATATTGTTTGCGTCAAGGTTGACGAAACAACGCAGTCAGTATTTTCACTGACTTTGTTTCACTTTCACTTTGTTAATCTTTACTGGCACACGCATCCAATTCTCTCTTAATACCGAGAGCGTCGAGATAATATCGCCGGTTAATCACCGATTTACGGTTACTCTTTTTTTAACAGTCGTGATCGCCATTTTTTGACACAGCAGATAATAGAAAACAGTGTGTCTGATAAAAAAGCGAAAGGCCATTTGGAAAATTCGTGATGAAATCGGAAATTAATCACGTTCAACAGGGCACTATGTTGCACGCGTTTATGTTTATATAATGAGTTAGAAAGTTGATCCTTTCTTACGCAATGTATTATATCTTGAGATAAGCGAGAGACTCGTTCTTTAAGAGAGAAAGAGGGGGGGGGGGGCGGGATCGTTTTTAAAAAGATTCGGTTTCTTTCTTTCGGGAGATCGAGATAAGAGAACGTTGTTTTCGTTTCGCGGGCAGCACGAAATGTTATATTGCTCTGTGGCTTAATGTGTCACTAGAGAATACGTTTTCCCCGTGGTTTTATCACAAATTGAAACATTTTTCTCGCCGTTTATCGATTGCTACTTCCTCCCGTACTTTCTTCCACGTTAATCACACTGCTCCTTTTGATTTTAGTGCACTTTCTCGCGTCGCAACCTTGCTTGAATTCCATTTAAGCAACTACGTAGCTTAATTGCACGACTGTCATATCGTGCGCGAGGCTGTAACTCGAATCTCGAATTTTTTTTTCTCCAGCCGAATTGAGAAATTTACAACTGTGGGAAGTGATGCGTGGAGCGTAAAGACCGCAAGTAAAATATACTTATTGTGCAATTACACGTTATTTATTAGCCGTGCGAGTCGAAATAAAATCTAATTGGACAAATTTAAATAATTGATTTTTCTTCGTCGATTGTGTCCTCTCTCTCTCTCTCTCTTTCTCTCTCTCTCTCTGTGCGGTTAAAAGTGAAAATGGATTTTTAAGCCGATCTTCTGATCTCTCGTTCTTTCGAATCGTTCGCTCTTAATTAGGCCTTCTATCACATCCTGCACGATCGATTTCACGGAGCAATCTAGCACGGAGCACTGACAAAACGTTTTCACTTGAAATATTTCCTTCTTTTCTTTTTTTTTTTTTTTCTCTGCCGTTTTCATTTTCCGTTTGAGCGTTGAACGCAGACTGTTCGACCGAAGGACCCTCGACAAAGTCTCGGGGTTCGCTGCACCTGACAGGACATTTTTCACCCGGAGCCCCGATTGAAAGCGCTCAACGAGTTCCACCCCGAAACGTCGCGAATAATCCCACCGTGTATCGACCGTAATGGCACTTGTGCCATCGAGGGCGTGACTTTTCGCTAACGACGTCCACTCCGTGTTCAAAAACATCCTACGTGCGTTCGGAAATGAAATATTCTTCAAGAAAATGGCTGATATAATTTTAACAAATTCAGTCACGTCGTTGTCTAGAAAGTAAGGAAGCAATTAACACGTTGATCACCTATATCTGGATGACGGTCAAGTTTCTATTGGGTGATGATCCTACTTTTAAATCTTAAATAAATATTTAGCTTGGATAATATAATTAGTGAAAAAGTGAGCTTTTAATAGTAAGTCATTTTTAAATTAAGCAAATTGAACGCGAAATTAAATAACGATACAATAATAATATAGTGAATTTTTGAATTGTATTGAAGTAGTTTTAATTACATTATTCGCATAAAAATACATAATATTGTATTTTTAGTTAGTTATCTGTGATATATTTGAAGAAAACATTGTGGGATTTTAGGAGTTCCGTAAATTCTCGAAATTTCTAGTCTATGGCATGAAAAAAATGTGTGAAAACTTCTAATTTGACATGCCTGAAGCAGCACGTAATGTACATGCTTCATAAACTTGACAAAAAGAAAGCATGAAAGAAAGAATAAAAAAGAGCACGTGTTAATTTTGCATCTCTTGCATGAAAAATAAGGGAAACGTAAACAGAAAAAGACACTGCTCGCGTCTTTTCTTCCCAGTACGCAGAGACAACCTATTGTAGAATGAGCAGATGAATTTCTCAAGTTCCATCAGAATTTCAAGCAGAAGAAATCCATCTGAGATCGAATCCGGAAAGGTATAATTAATTGAAGCATTGCTTTGGCATCTGTACCATTAAAATGGAAACCGGAATAAATAATTCGTTCCAGAAACTTGCAAGAAACTGGCAAGAGTGTCGGTGTTCAAACCGCGGAAGCGGAAAAATATTATTCTTTTCCGAGCGAGTCTCCAAATGAAACGAGCATACTTTCCGAGCAACCGCATCTAAACAGGAAAGCAGTTATATCCTTTATAGCTTGAAATATCTATTGAAATATGCTCGAGTTTCTTGGTACCCCGATCATCTCTATTCGAAATGCACAGTAGAGGGTGAATTGTATTTTGAATTCATAAAATAATAGGGATTGTTGTCAACACAAAAAAAGGAGGACAAATTGCTATATTATCGCGATGAATGTACGATAATGTTAGGGGTACCCATGACTAATGTCAATTTTTGATACTGTACGAAATTTTATTTCATTTCAGAGTTAATACAGTTTTAATCTATAATGTAATTTGACAATAATAACAACACTAAATATCAATATATTTAACTTAGAATATTATGTTGTGATAAGTTAAGTTATTCTCTTCACTGTGGCAATGTTTATTAATTTTTGAAAAAACGACATTACTTATGGGTATGATATCTCTAGTATATGACAGTCAGTGGGATGCATGGTAATCGTAGATTTCATAATACGCGAGTATCACTGCAAATATTTCGTATTCGCGGCAAATGAGCGCCTCGATATTTTCAACAAACGGTAAAAAATACTACCGCCAGTTACGATCACTTTCGACAATTAGTTCGTGCAACATAATCGTGAGATTCTTCCGACAAATTATGTTAAGCGGGCACAATGCGAAAAGGAATTCTCAAGGGCGGTATTCGCGTCGCATAAATTCACCGCGATGGAAAAACGCGCGCGTGTGGGAACAACGCGCGAAGAAAATGGTCGAGGACCGTTCGCGTAAACTCGATTGTTGTTCTCCTTCTTCGGCGAATATTACTTTCGACAACGCTGGAAAGAGTAGAAAAGGAACCGTGAAAGAAATCTCGATACGCTTTAAAAT